AAAGTTACGAAGCATAAAAAGTGGGTACGCCAACTTCACAATTATAGAATTTCCAACGGGCACAGTTTTTTTACTATAAATGCCTATATCTATATACCAATCGTTAGTTCTTCGTTAGTTCTCGATAGTTCTCCAATATTTACGTTAGTTCTCAAAAAATAAAAAAGATAAGAGGCAAACAAAGTGGGTACGCCAACTTCACAATTATAGAATTTCCAGCGGGCACAGTTTTTTTACTATAAATACCTATATCTATATACCAATCGTTAGTTCTTCGTTAGTTCTCGATAGTTCTCCAATATTTACGTTAGTTCTCAAAAAATAAAAAAGTTAAGAGGGATACAAAGTGGGTACGTTAACTTCACAACTATACGATTTCCAGCGGGCACCGTTTTCTGACTATAAATGCCTATATCTATATACCAATCGTTAGTTCTTCGTTAGTTCTCGATAGTTCCCCAATATTTACGTTAGTTCTCAAAAAATAAAAAAGTTACGAGGCATACAAAGTGGGTACGCTAACTTTACAACCATACAATTTCCAGCGGGCACAGTTTTCTGACTATAAATGCTTATATCTATATACCAATCGTTAGTTCTTCGTTAGTTCTCGATAGTTCTGTAATATTTACGTTAGTTCTAAAAAAAAATAAAAAAGTTACGAGGCGTACAAAGTGAGTACGCTGACTTTAAAATTATAAAATTTCCAGCGGGCACCGTTTTCTGACTCAAAACGCTTATATCTATTTTCCAATTTTTAGTTCTTCGTTATTACTTGTTAGTTCCCCAATATTATTACTAGTTCTTAAAAAATAAAAAGGCAATAAGGTCTTAAACGTGGTTATGCCAACCTCACACCCAAATCATTCCTAGCGTGCACCCTTGTCTGACTAAAAGTGCCTGTATCCTAATATTAATCGTAAGATCTTGATGGCTCACCGATTTTTTTGTTAGTTCTAAAAAAATTAAATAAATAGACGTATAGCCAGTAATGAATAGATAAACTTATTTAATACTTCTGATTTCCAGCACGCACCTTCATTCAACGAAAAATGCTTACAGTATACTACTACAGTAGAACCTCTTTAATCCGAACTAATTGGGACCAGGGGTAGTTCGGACTAGTGAATAGTTCGGATTACAGAACATATTGTTGTTTTTACATAACAATAGCTAAAACATGGCTAAAATTGATCTAAATTATTTTGGGAAAAGTGAAAAAAATGTTTTATAAATTAAAATACAGTGTTTATTTAATACAGTAGTAAACATGGTGAATAAAAAGTACTGTAAATTAAATACAGTATACAATAAAGAACTGCTGTACTGTGTATAGAGTACAGCAATGAGGGGTTCGGATTAGTGGACGTTCGGATTACGGGGGTTCGGATTAAAGAGGTTCTACTGTATACAACTAAGTAAATATTGTCTCGACCCCGCCATACCCAATACGCCATGCTAGTAATGTGTTGTACACATTTATTCCATCCACCACTCCAGTCTCCAGTTTGTTCAAGTCCGTATGACCTTCCAGTCTCGATCCGTGCAACTGTCACTCGTTACGTGTTACGTTTAATGATGTAATTTTATAATACTAATACCGAACACAATCAAATATAAACAATACAAACGATTAGTTCAATTAACCAAACAGAAGTTCTTTGATCCTACATATTTTATCTGCTTAGTCCAATTCAAATAATCACTGCTTATAAATTACTTTATACCATTTTACTTAGCAGACTCTGGTTTTCATTTTGATGGATAGTTTATTTTGTTTCCATGATGGACTTTTTATAAAATGCACTTATTCACACAACTAAGTAGGTATAAATATGATTTCATTGCTTATCTAAAACCAATTTTTGGAAGCGTTGTCTTTTTTGGATGTTCTAATTAACTGAACATATTTAACTGTTAATCATTTTGATACCGTAATCAAAATTATCACTCCTAAAAAATAATCTAACCGAGTGACACCTGCAACTACTATTGGGGATATCACAGATAAGCGCTATCCTGGAACTGATAAGCAATCCTTTCTCTTCGAGAGAATCATAATGTGATAGTTATTCTAATGTCAGTGTTACTTTGATTTTCATTGTGTGAAGATGAATCAAATTACAGTGCATGGAACTAAAAATTGGTATATAGATATAAGCGTTTTTAGTCGGAAAACGGTGCCCGCTGGAAATTTTATAATTTTGAAGTCAGCGTACTCACTTTGTATGCCTCGTAACTTTTTTATTTTTTTTTAGAACTAACGTAAATATTGGAGAACTATCGAGAACTAACAAAGAACTAACGATTGGTATGTAGATATAATCATTTATAGTCAGAAATCGGTGCCCGATGGAAATTATGTAATCGTGAAGTTAGCAAACCCACTTTGTATGCCTCGTAATTTTTTTTTTTACAACTAACGTAAATATTTGAGAACTATCGAGAAGTAACGAAGAACTAACGATTGGTATATAAATATAAGTATTTTATTTAGAAAACTGTGCCAGCTGGAAATTCTATAATTGTGAAGTTGGCGTACCACTTTTTATGCTTCGTAACTTATTCATTTTTTGAGAACTAACGCAAATATTGGAGAACTATCGAGAACTAACGAAGAACTACCGATTGGTAAATAGATATAAGCATATATAGTCATAAAACGGTGCCCGCTGGAAATTGTATAGTTGTGAAGTTAGCGTACCCACTTTGTATGCCTCGTAGCTTTTTTATTTTTTGAGAACTAACGTAAATATTGGAGAACTATCGAGAACTAACGAAGAACTAACAATTGGTATATAAATATAAGCATTTTTATTTAGAAAACTGTGCCCGCTGGAAATTCTATAATTGTGAAGTTGGCGTACCCACTTTGTATGCCTCGTAGCTTTTTTATTTTTTGAGAACTAACGTAAATATTGGAGAACTATCGAGAACTAACGAAGAACTAACGATTGGTATATAGATATAGGCATTTATAGTCAGAAAACGGTGCCCGCTGGAAATTGTATAATTGTGAAGTTAGCGTACCCACTTTGTATGCCTCGTAACTTTTTGGTTTTTTGAGAACTAACGTAAATATTGGAGAACTATCGAGAACTAACGAAGAACTAACGAAGAACTAACGATTGGTGTATAGATATAAGCATTTATAGTAAGAAAACGGTGCCCGCTGGAAATTGTATAGTTGTGAAGTTAGCGTACCCACTTTGTATGCCTCGTAGCTTTTTTATTTTTTGAGAACTAACGTAAATATTGGAGAACTATCGAGAACTAACGAAGAACAAACGATTGGTGTATAGATATAGGCATTTATAGTAAAAAAACTGTTCCCGCTGGAAATTGTACAATTGTGAAGTTAGCGTACCCACTTTGTATGCCTCATAACTTTTTCATTTTTTGAGAACTAACGAAAAAATTCGGGAACTATCGAGAACTAACGATGAACTAACGATTGGTATGATCAAAAGTGGATACGCTAATATGGGTACGCCAACTTCACGGACCTCTGGAATTCTCAAAATGATCCCTTGCTCAGCTGCTCTGCAAGACACTGTTTGAGCACCTGACACTGTTTGAGCCTATTTATTGAATGAATGAATGAATGAAAAAATGAATATACGATTATTTCCACATAATGTATACAGAAAGAATACATACTTTTCAATACAAAATATAATCACAATTACAAAATATAAACTAAGGCTAAGAATAAAAAAGAACATTTCTGTATTTCTGAAGACCAGTTACCTGAGTGTATCAACCATGTGTCAACATATAATGTGCAAAGTTTGTATATTTATAAGAGCTTTAATTCCAGCATTCATATGAGTTTCTTAATTGTTCCGTCCATGAATTAAAAGCCATTAAAAAAATCATGATATATTTTTTTAGCGATGAAACATTCTAAAACGTATCAATATGCTTTACGTTATAATAGCTGTCAAAATGTCATGATGATTACATCAGTTTCTTTGATATAATATGTTAAAGTAGTCCGTTGTTAGAAAAGTGCCGAAAACCCTATACTTCTTTCATTCAAGTCGCTGAAAGGCTGATTTGAAACAGCATAAAAAATTTGAACACGCATAAACAAGATATAAATTTTTATAAATATGATTTAACTTGTATTTTTATAAGTATACTGGTTACGTTTCAACAACACTAGAACGTGTAGTGCCTACAACCGAACTACGCAACCTCTGCAGCCACTTCTGGCCGAGACTGTACCGTTGGACTTAATGATATTTAGTCCTTATGAAACTCCTCTGTTTATTTGATATTTTAACGTTCGTCCTAGTGAAATAACCGTTGGACTTCGTGAAATTTGGACTTTGTGAAACAGTGATTATTTGAATGTTATAGTGTTGGAATTATTGAAACGCTCTGTTTATTTGATATTTTAAGGTTGAACTTTGTGAAATAACCGTTGGACTTAGTGAAATTTGGACATTGTGAAACGGTAGTTATTTGAAAGTTACAGTTTTGGACTTTTTAAATTTTCATTAAATATTTTAACCGTTGGACTTTGTGTAACTTGGAATTTATGAACCACACCCTCTAAAACATATAAATTTGTAAATTTGCATGTAATACATACAGTATAGTGTAATACATTTATTTATATGATGCATGACTCAAGTGATTTTTGCAAAATAATGCTAGGGAAAAGTTGGAACCCTTAATGCAAGAGTAAAAAAATATAAAAAAAGTGTTTTTGGTTTTTTTTTAATAAATTTACTGTATTGCACTTTTTGCAGTATTCATTTGTTGTTCAAGCTACGTGTTATGAGTACAGACCTCTCTATTTTCACCCTATGCTGTAAATAAAACATGTGATTTTCCGTTTATATTTTTTTGTTATTTCATCAACATCATGAAACCCATAAGGTCCATGTTATTTTTTAAAATTTTAAATTCACCTAATTTTAATTTTTTAAACCTTTCTAACAGTAGGCCTATGCATAGATTTTAGTATGTGTTAGAATAGACGAAGAAAGCTAATAATTTATTAAGATATAGAAAACAAAATTAGGCGTACAATCTATGAAAAAAGACACTAATATTTTCAGTCATTAAGGGGCCATCCACATATTATGTTACACAATTATAAGGTCTCTCTCCCGTATGAACCAATAAATGTATCTTCATAGCGCTTTTGGTTTTATAGGATTTTCCACATGTAGAGCACGTGTAAGGTCTCTCTCCTGTATGAACCAATAAATGTCTCTTCATAGCGCTTTTGTGTGTAAAGGAAATTTTACATGTAGAGCACTTGTGAGGTCTCTTTCCTGTATGAACCAATAAATGTGTCTTCATATCGCTTTTGTGCGTAAAGGATTTTTCACATGTAGAGCACTTATGAGGTCTCTCTCCTGTATGAACCAATGAATGTCTCTTCATAGCGCTTTTTTGTGTAAAGGATATTTGACATGTAGAGCACTTGTAAGGTCTCTCTCCTGTATGAACCAATGTATGTGTTTTCATATCGCCTATAGATGTAAAGGATTTTTCACATGAAGTGCACTTGTAAGGTCTCTCTCCTGTATGAACCAATGAATGTCTCTCCATATCGCTTTTGGTTTTAAAGGATTTTCCACATGTAGAGCACTTGTAATGTCTCTCTCCTGTATGAACCAATAAATGTTTCTTCATATCGCTTTTGGTTTTAAAGGATTTTTCACATGTAGAGCACTTGTAATGTCTCTCTCCCGTGTGAATCAATGAATGTGTCTTCATATCGCTTTTGGTTTTAAAGGATTTACTACATGTAGAGCACTTGTAAGGTCTCTCTCCTGTATGAACCAATGAATGTCTCTCCATTTCGCTTTTGGTTTTAAAGGATTTTCCACATGTAGAGCACTTGTAATGTCTCTCTCCTGTATGAACCAATAAATGTTTCTTCATATCGCCTTTGGTTTTAAAGGATTTTTCACATGTAGAGCACTTGTAATGTCTCTCTCCCGTGTGAATCAATGAATGTGTCTTCATATCGCTTTTGGTTTTAAAAGATTTCCCACATGAAGTGCACTTGTAAGGTCTCTCTCCTGTATGAACTAATGTATGCCTCTTCAAACAGGAGTTAGTAGTAAAGGACTTTCCACATGTGGAGCATTTGTAAGGTCTCGCTCCTGTATGAACTAATGTATGTGTCTTCATATCGCATTTGGATGAAAACGATTTTTCACATTTAGTGCACTCATAATGACACTCCCCAAGATGTATCAACACATGTCTTTTTACATGGTGTTGTTGGAAAAAGGCTTTTCCACATGTCAAACATTTAAAGGGACGCTCTCCTGTGTGATATAATATATGTAGCTTCATCACGGATAGAGTTGATCTAGTTTGCTTACATATTGGACACTTGAGAAGAACATCTTTAGAGCAAGTTAACATTGTTACTTTTGCAATTTTATCCCTTTGAAACTTGTCACATAAGCTAGTAACTATTTAGAAACCCAACAAATCAGAGGGTTTTGTTTGTATTTAACTAGAAACCTTGTTTGTTGCCTTGTTTGAGCCTTGTTAAGTGGCTAGTAGTTACATGATAGGCTACCTCTCTCGAACTCAACATTGAATCACCTCATAGTCAAATCTTGCAATGCACATTAGGTATTTAACAATATACTTGAGGGATTTTCCTTTTTCTCTTGTTTTTCCCTTATTCTTCTATTGTATTTTCAACCTATAACAAAAAAGTTTACTGAAACTCAAATTCTACTTAAACAAAACTAAATTGCTGAATTTAATTTGTGTAGGGGAAACATAAGATTTAGAGTGGTTCTTGAAAGTATTAAATCGGCGGTTATATCAATTAATTTTTTTTTAAAGTGATTAAACTATATTCTCCTCTAAAAAAACATTTTTATTATAAACCACAGACAGACATTTGATTGCTGAAATAATAGCTTTGTAATATAAGATGGTAAGTCTAGGTTTTCCGCTCAGCTTGAGTTCTGTGAAATTTGGGAATCCTCTAGGCAGCGTTAAGGCTGTAGATAACGCTATGTGCTATTAGGTGTGTCCGCTATATAATGTATATTCTTAATAGTTTTACCGTCTTCATGTTCACATGACCATGTAATGTGTGTTTCTGCCCATGGTTCATCAAGGGGCTGTTTTGCTGTTTGGGTTAAATATGGCTTTAAGCATAGACAAAAATAATTAAATATAGACTGTCAGCCGTGCTGTGGTTACCATGGTTACAATAGGTTCGGGCGCACACCACTGGTAGGCCGTAACAACACAGCGCTACCAGCGGTGTGCGCCAGAACCTATGGTATAAAAGATCGACAACATCATCATCAATGTCATCATATAGCATCAAAGCCAAAAGGGCTTTCCTCTTTCTTTCCATACTCGTCGTTAGTTTGGATAGAACTGAATCTCCACAACGTTATTTTCACAGTCTGTAGAACCACCCCTCTAGATTTTTCGCTGCGAAAAATTACGCACCGCATGGCGGATATTTCGCATCCTGTGGAACCATAGCTTTATGGCACTTTGCCTGGAAAATCACCAAAATTCCATAGGTTTTTGTGGATGATATAAAAAGAGTGTAAAATACAAACAAAACTAAGTAATTCATATAATTTATTGTTCAATGAAGGGTTGCGGGGAGAATTGTAAAAAACGGGTTCACATGTTATTTTAACAAAACAACGGTTATTGCTCTACTTAATATGAAACTAGGTATACAAGAGTTATACATATCAAATATGATAAAATTCACAAAGCATACATAGGGGTTGCGGCATTATCATTTATAAAAAAATCTAAATGCATTGGTGATTTGGCGGGATTTGAGGAACCTGGACCCTCAACGACCAAAACAAATTTATGTACACAAACGAAAACATGCTTTTTACAAGGGGTTGTATGGCGTAATATTTTATTTCTTTGCCATTTCAGATTCTGAAACCTTCAAAATTCCATGGGCTTAGTGCACGAGGTAAAAATAGCTTTAAAAGCAAACTAAGTAGTTAATGGCATCTTTTATTCTTCGGTGAAGTCACAGAGGTAGGCTATAGATAAAAATTGTATCCCATGACATAGTCCAATTATGCTGGTTCGCGAACTCGTTGGTTTGCACGTTTGTACCAAATTTCATCAAAATCGCTTCACTTTTGCTCGAGTTATCGCGCTAACGGACACATACACACACACACACATATATATATATATATATATATATATATATATATATATATATGAATTTGAACGGAGGATGGTGTTTTTGGCCTCTGGGAACCTCAAAACAAAAAAGTAAATCGGTCCCGGGTCTAGGTCTTACCATGAGACCTACGGTAATAGCTTATTCCCTATATGGGAAATTCGCTAAAACATTCCTTTACAGTAACAGGTTGAGTTTTACTAGCGAACGAACTTCAACCTGGAGGCGAGTTAGCGTAGCGAACGAGCTAAACCTGAAGGCAAGTGAGCGCAGCGAACGAGCTCCAACCTAAAGGTGAGTAAGTGTAGCAAACGAACTTCAAACCAAGACGTGATTGAGCGATGCGAACGAGCTCATCTTGAAAATGAACGAGCAATTGACATAAAAACACATTACGACAGGAGACGTCTGTCGGGCCAGCTAGTATATATGTATATATTTGATATTGTTCACGTGTAGGGCTATTGTAATTAATATCAATAAACAATACACCATAGTACCCTTTTTTTAATTATTTTTTTTTATTTCATATATATATGAATTTGAACGGAGGATGGTGTTTTAGCCTCTGGGAACTTCAAAACAAAAAAGTAAATCGGTCCCGGGTCTAGGTCTTACCATGAGACCTACGGTAATAGCTTATTCCCTATATGGGAAATTCGCTAAAACATTCCTTTGCAGTAACACTAACTGAGTTTTACTAACTGTCTTGATTAGATCATGTGACCTGGCTTTTTATAGGGTGAATATGGAGTTTTTTGCCTATTTATCAAGAAAACATCCAACAAAATTTCAAATATTTTCGGTTCTACATTTTCTTTAGTGACATTAAAAAAGTTATCAAGATTCCTGGTTTGCTGACAATATAAAACTTTTTGGAAAGTTGCTTCCCTCTATGACTTTGAGTCCTTGCTGAAGGCTCTTACCAAAGAATATGGTGAATCCAACCAAAAATAGCCTAAGTTGAAAACATTTAGCATTTAGCAAAATTCTCCGGGTATTGAATATTTCTTATATTCTTTTTGACTCATCGTCATAAGAGTTTGGGCCAGACATTCACCGCATCTGCGCCATGACCTCTGGAATTCTCAAAATGATCTCTTGCTCATTTGCTCTGCAAGACACTGTTTGAGCACCTGACACTGTTAGAGCCTATTTATTGAAGACCAGAATCAACCATGTGTCAACACATAATGTGCAAAGTTTGTATATTTATAAGAGCTTTAATTTAAGCTTTCATCTGAGTTTCTTAATTGTTCTGTCCATAAATTAAAAGCAATTACAAAAATCATGATAGATTTTTTTAGCGATGAAACATTCTAAAACGTTTCAATATGCTTTATGTTATAATAGCTGTCAAAATGTCATGATGATTACATCAGTTTCTTTGATATAAAATGTTAAAGTAGTCCGTTGTTAGAAAAGTGCTGAAAACCCTATACTTCTTTCATTCAAGTCGCTGAAAGGCTGATTTGAAACAGTATAAAAAATTTGAAAGTAACACACATAAACAAGATATAAATTTTTATAAATATGATTTAACTTGTATTTTTATAAGTATACTGGTTACGTTTCAACAACACTAGAACGTGTAGTGCCTACGTCCGAACTACGCAACCTCTGCAGGCACTTCTGGCCGAGACTGTACCGTTGGGACTTAATGAAATTTAGTCCGTATGAAACTCTCTGTTTATTCGATATTTTAATGTTGGTCCTAGTGAAATAACTGTTGGAATTAGTGAAATTTGGGCATTGTGAAACGGTAATTATTTGAATGTTACAGTTTTGGACTTTTTTTCATTTTCATTTAATATTTTAATTGTTGGACTTTGTGAAATTTGGACTTTATGAACCTCACCCAGGAAGTATACCCTCTAAAACATATAAATTTGGTGTGATTAACCACAAGTAAATACTTGTTTTTAACAAGTTACCAGTAACCCATGCGTGTTTGAGTTTTCTTGTTGAAAATGCATGTAATTCTTACAGTATAGTGTAGTACATTTATTTATATGATGCATTGACTCAAGTGATTTTTGCAAAATAATGCTAGGGAAAAAGTTGGAACCCTTAATGCAAGAGTAAAAAAATATTTAAAATAAAGTGTTTTTGGTTTTTAAAATAAATTTACTGTATTGCATTTTTTGCGGTGTTCATTTGTTGTTCAAGCTACGTGTTGTGTACAGACCTCTCTATTATCACCCTATGCTGTAAATAAAACATGTGATTTTCCGTTTATATTTTGTTGTTATTTCATCAACATCATGACAACCCATAAGGTCCATGTTATTTTTTTAAATTTTAAATTCACCTAATTTCAATTTTTTTAACCATTCTAACAGTATGCATAGACTTTAGTATGTGTTAGAAATGTTAGAATAGACAAAGAAAGCTAATCATTTATTAAGATATTGAAAACAAAATTAGGTGTACAATCTATGAACAAAGACACTAATATTTGCAGTCATTTAGGGGCCCTCCACATATTATGTTACACAATTATAAGGTCTCTCTCTCTCCCGTATGAACCAATAAATGTATCATCATAGCGCCTTTGGTATTATAGGATTTTCCACATGTAGAGCACGTGTAAAGTCTCTCTCCTGTATGAATCAATAAATGTCTCTTCATAGCGCTTTTGTGTGTTAAGGATATTTCACATGTAGAGCACTTGAGAGGTCTCTCTCCTGTATGAACCAATGAATGTGTCATCATATCGCCTTTAGATGTAAAGGATTTTCCACATGTAGAGCACTTGTAACGTCTCTCTCTTGTATGAGCTAATGTATGCATCTTCAACCAGGAGTTAGTAGTAAAGGATTTTTCACATGTAGAGCACTTGTAAGATCTCTCTCCTGTATGAACCAATAAATGTATCTTCATTTCGCCTTTGGTTTTATAGCATTTTCCACATGTGGAGCATGTGTAAGGTCTCTCTTCCGTATGAACCAATAAATGTGTCTTCATATTGCCTTTAGATTTAAAGGATTTTCCACATGTAGAGCACTTGTAAGGTCTCTCTCCTGAATGAACCAATAAATGTTTCTCCATATGGCTTTTGGTTTTAAACGATTTTCCACATGTAGAGCACTTGTAATGTCTCTCTCCCGTATGAATCAATGAATGTTTCTTCATATCACTTTTGGTTTTAAAGGATTTTCCACATGTAGAACACTTGAAAGGTCTCTGTCCTGTATGAAGTTGTGTGTGTGTCTTCATATCGTCTTTTGATTCAAAGGATTTTTCACATCTTGGGCTATTAAAATGACATTTCCCAAAATGTATAACCAAATGTCTTTTTACATGGTATTTTCGGAAAAAGGTTTTTCCACATGCCAAACATTTAAAGGGACGCTCTCCCGTGTGATATAATATATGAGCCTTCATTGCAGATTGAGTTGAACAACTTTGCACACATATTGGACACTTAAGAGGCAATTTTTTGAAGCAAGTTAACATTTCTACTCTTGCACTTTTTATTTCTATGATTCTTATCACATAAGCTAGTATTTAATTAGGAAGCTCATAGATTTGTTTTCAACAGAAAACCATGTTTGTAGATCTTGTTAAGTGGCTAGTAGTTAAGTGATAGGCTATCTCTCACTCAACATTGAATCACCTCATAGTAAAATATTGCAATGTATATTAGGTATTTTAAAATATACTTGAGGGATTTTCCTTTTTCTCTTGTCTCCTTTATTCTTCTATTGTATTATATTACTTCTTGAATAAATTTAATCTGTTGTTTTAAATTTTTTTGACTCGACCTAGAACAAAAATGTTTATTGAAACTCAAATTCTAGTTAAACAAAACAAATTGTTGAATTTAATTTGTGTAGGGAAACATAACATTTAGAGTGGTTCTTCAAAGTTAAGCATTACATCAGGGATTTGGATTACATCAATTAATTAGTTTTTCAAAGCGATTAAATTATATTCTCCTTCTGAATTATAACTACTGTCTGAGAAAGATCATACCTTATTAAAACCATTTATTAATCCATTCACATGGGTTTAACAATCAATTTACAAAACTTAAATTTCTACAAGCTTGAGAATATCATAATGATCCTAATGGGAGCACATCATTTGTCCGAGTTTTCAACTGTGCGAGTTTGTTAAAAATTACAAAATATTTGAAAAATCAGTTGTCCGAGTTTCATTTGTCTGAGTTTCATTTGTCATGTAGAGTTATCATGTAGAGCTCCCACCACCCACCCCACCCATCGCTGAAAACTCAAGCTCCATCAGTGAACTTTGTACCCACATCCTTCTGTTTACAAACAAACTGATTAAGCAGCATTGTTAATGCCATAATATTGTTATCTCTGTACTACAGTCACGTTTAGGATATTATTATTGATGCCCTTATTTTAATCAAATAATTGAAAGGGTTGACTGGTCCAGAATATTTATTTGTATATATGGGTAATGTAGATAAATTATCTGTAGCCTATTCTATTGTATGTTTAAATCAAATCATGACTGTAAATAATTTAGTACCTCCCGGATGGGGAAGGAAAGAAGTCATTAGAAAAAAAGGTTTAAGTGCAGGAAAAATTTATGTGTAAAAAGGAGCTACAGAAATACATTTCTGAGAACAAGTTATCCCTGACTATTGACAATTTTAACTTTTCTACATCAAAAAGCAGTCAAGCGGGAAATACCGAAGTTTGCAGCAAAGAATATCAAGATTCATCACAGAGCTTAGGTTCTGAGTCAAGTTTGTCAATCTTCTCTGATTCATCGATTAGTAACATTGATTTGCCAACAGAAACGACAAATGAAACAATTAAAAATATTAAAAATGTCAAAATACCAGACATTCCAAAGAACATAATATTAGGTTAGCTTGCTCGTTGTTAGGAGGAAATTGGGCAACAGATGACTCAATACAGTACTACTTTGAGATGATGGATACCATAGTTAGCAGTAAACATCAGTCTGTATTGTCAAATAAAGAAGTTTTATATTGATTAACAATTTTTATCTTAGGAATAAAATGTTACCAACTGAATTATTTGTAAATACAATACAAAAACAATCTCCAGATGATCTTAATAATAACTAAATAAATATTAAAGAACAACAAACATATGACATCTTCTCTTCCCTTTTTAGCAATTTCCCTATAGGGAAGTAGCTATTACCGTAGGTCTCATGGTAAGACCTAGACCCGGGACCGATTTACTTTTTCATTTTGATGTCCCCAGAGGCCAAAAACACCATTCGTTCAAATTTTTATATATCTATATATAGATATACTAGCTGACCCGGCGAACTTCGTATCGCCTAAGTTATAGGTTTCCCCTAAGACAGACCGATGGAAAGAAAGTACCGTTACGTTTAATTTTCAAGATGATCTCGTTCGCATCGCTCAATCACGTCCTGGTTGAAGTTCGTTCGCTACGCTCACTCACTTTTGGGTTGGAACTCGTTCGCTACGCTCACTCACCTTTAGGTTGGAGCTCGTTCGCTGCGCTCACTTGCCTTCAGGTTAGCTCGTTCGCTACGCTAACTCGCCTCCAGGTTGAAGTTCGTTCGCTACGCTCACTCACCTTTGGGTTGGAGCTCGTTCGCTACGCTCACTCACCTTTAGGTTGGAGCTCGTTCGCTGCGCTCACTTGCCTTCAGGTTAGCTCGTTCGCTACGCTAACTCGCCTCCAGGTTGAAGTTCGTTCGCTACGCTCACTCACCTTTTGGTTGCAAATTAGCTGTTGTCATAAATGTAAAAGAAATAATAGTGCTGCACCCTGTTGGTAATCCTTGTAACTTTAATGCTATTGAACATCATAGAACAGAACCAACTTGTTTAATTGAAACAGTTGTTAAGATTCATTAATTCCATTTCTCATAAGGTTAACATGGGAAACTCCAGAGCCACTGGGGCGGAGCCCTTTTAAGAATTTCGAAACGGGAAATAGTTTACGTCCGATTCGCATACCTACAGAATTTACACACCAAATTTCATAACGATCGGTGAAGTCGTTCCGGAGGAGTTTGCAGACAAACACTGTGACACGAGAATTTTATATATTAGAAGATATATATATATATATATATATATATATATATATATATATATATGTGTCCATCCGCACGATAACTTGAGTAATTTTTGTCCGATTTTGATAAAATTTGGCTTGAAGGTGTAAGGCGGGATAAACTCGAACGAGTTCGCGAACCAGCATGATCGGACTATGGGAACGGGGGTTTACGGGGGGTTTTATGGGGTAAAAATAGGTTTTTCCCATTTTTGACCCAAAAAAAATAAAATTTTGCAAAATCTTTTAAAACCATTTTGTAGAGCTTAAAAAAACAAATAATTTAGTATATTGAAGTGTTACTATGCGCCTAATGGTTACGGAGAAAATTCCAAAAAAATGTAAATTTTAAATTCCCATGTTATTCTTATGGAGAATAAGTAAACTGTTGTAGTTTGCTTGCTTATGAACATATTTTGATCAAATTTGGAAAATGTTTTTATTTCTTACTAACTATTAACATTTTACAAAAAAAAGTTTTACCCTCCCTGATGCAGCAAACCTAAATACCTGTCAAAATTATTCTATTTAAATAGGAAATAAATGTTAAATTTTAAAACGTTTTTATTAGGTCACTTTCTTGTCCGCTACAAATTTTGCAACCGATTTTATACTAACTTCCCGATGAGCTAGGGACTTGAAACTTGAAACATATCTCACAAATGGAAGACAATGCAATATTATAAAATTTAATTTTCATATTTCCCTTGGGCTTCGCCCCATGGGCTTGTTTTTATTAAATCGATTTCTTGCAAATTTTGATACTTCCCGATGAGCTAGAGACTCGAAATTTGAAACATAGCTCACAAATGGATGACATTGCAATATTATATCATTTAGTTTTCATATTTCCTTTCGGGCTACGCCCTATGGGCTTGTTTTTACTAGCTTGCTTTCCTACAAATTTTGATATCAATTTTAAACGATGTTCCCGATAAGCTAGAGACTTGAAATTTGAAACATAACTCAGAAATGCATGACAATGCAATATTATATCATTCAATTTTCATATTTCCCTTGGGCTACGCCCCACTGGCTTCCAAATTTTCCATGTTTACATTTTGTAAAAATGTAAACACATTAATTAATTTAAGTCAGCTGTAAATACTTAAATTTGACAGTTCGAAGAGCAGAGGTTAAGAGGTACAGGTTATGCTCCCAAGAGATTCTTTTTACAAACAAACATTTCAAAATAAAGATAAACAATCTGATTGCAGGTATCAAGGTGTTTGTAAATAATGTCAATTTTTGTTTATTTAGTATTCTATAAAGTAAACGATAAATATTTCGAGTGAATGCATTGCAGAGAAATTCCATAACAAACTATACCTAGGTAAATTATTATATATTGTGAGTTTTCGGATTAGCGATCTGTAAACATGTAATAATATCAATTATTTGTGAATATTGCATGATATTATGGTCAAGGAGACAGTCACCCAACGAAAACGACGGCTAGAGAAGGAAAAGAAAAAAAGACTAGTTATAAGCTTAAATAGGAATCGGAAGTTTGTAAATCGGCAAACGATATAGCTTTCATTTCAAGTACCAATTTTATCAAATATATTTATGAATAACATATCTTTGTACTATATTTGAGAAACATTGCGATTAAATAGATTGATATATTTATAGTTAGTAGGCCATACATGCAATCTAATACATAATTATATGCAAAAAAACTCAAATAAACCTTAGATTTCCCACATGCCTCTGTCTTAATCTGATATAGATGCTTGAAATAGATTTAACATGCACACACATTAAAACTAAAAAGTATAAAATAATTTACAAATAAAAAACTTTTTTAAACAAAACGTTTTTAAACGCCCTAAAAAGTAGAAAATAATTTACAAACAATTTATAAATATGTTGAGAGAGTATAAATACTTGTACGATTTAAAACGAAAAACGTTGGGTGCATGCAATTAATTGATAATAATACATTAGTTCAGTAGGTGAAGGTAATTGTAAACTATCTATTGCATGCACCCCACGTTTTTCGTTTTAAGTCGTACAAGTATTTATACTCTCTCAACATATTTATAAATTGTTTGTAAATTATTTTCTACTTTTTAGGGCGTTTAAAAACGTTTTGTTTAAAAAAGTTTTTTATTTGTAAATTATTTAAGTAGACATTTTAGTGTAAATCCAGTCAGACATATGGAAATTCGCTTAGTCTGCAGGTTTGCTGCGGCGGGGGTATTTTAAAGACATGTTCTTCTTGATGGATTTATTTGTCTACCAAATGAGGAAAAACAATTAGGCTCAGTTCCAGGGTCATCAGATGTTTTGGGTTGTAGTTGTCTTAGCATTACCCCGTTGCGACGTAACATGCCTTCGTTTGTCTTAACTGTGTATGATCTTGGAGTTACTTTATTAACTATCTTCCCATCTTCTCTCCTATCAGGAATATACACGTTGCATCCAATAGTGAATTGCTTTTCATCTCTCACTCCATGCCGTTTATTGAAGTAATCTTCTTGAGTTGCTCTATATAGTTTGTCCAATTCTCTAAATGTCTTGTGATCTACCATTTTAGGCTTGAGATCTTTTGTCAATGACGGTAGTCGGGTTCTTAGTCTTCTTCCCATCAACAATTCCGAAGGGCTGTACCCTGATGGACCTGGTGTTGACCTGTACTCCAGTAATGCTAGAGTGGGGTCTTTGTTCTTTGTAAGCATCTTTTTAAGCGTTTGGACTGTTCTTTCAGCTTCACCGTTTGCCTGATGGTGTAAGGGACTACAACAAATAGTTTTAAACCCAAAATCGGCTGCAAAGGCTCTCCATTCTGAGCTTGTAAACTGTGAGCCAGAATCAGAAATTACGATTTCAGGGATCCCATGTCGAGCAAAACTGGCTTTCATCTTCTTGATTAGTTCATCTACAGTCATTGTGGACACATTTATCATTTCCAAGTACCGTGAATAATAGTCTACAACAGCCAGGTATTTGCCTTTCACAAAGTCAAAGTAATCAACTGCTATTCTTTGCCATGGAGCCTTGGAAATTGGGCAATAAAGAAAGGCGCCAGAAAATTGTGATAAGTAAGCATTATTTTTTTGTTAATTTTTAACTTGCATAAATAGGGATTTGTAACATTTAAACAATTAATAGGCCTATGGTAATGGAATAGCTAGCTATTTACATTGAGCTATTTTATACGTCATATAAATGAAACCTTGTTGTATTGTTTGAAAATCTAGTACTGTGTTTTACTATTGCAGATATTATCATATTCTCAATAATTATAATAGTTGATTCTAAATCAAATATGTTTAATTAATTTTGCAGTGGAATTGAAAATGACGTGAACGCCAGTGAGCCTTCGACTATTCCACAAAGTGTAAGAGGTAACACGTCTATCACATTGGATGTTGTCACAGAACCTTCTGCATCATCGAAGTTGACGAATGTTTAAGTATAAATAAAGACATTGATGTACTGTCTTCTTTAAAAATCTTTCTTCAGTTTGAAATATAAACATCATGCAACAATATTTCATATTAAACACCCCAATGAACAATTGCCTGGACTGAAGGAATTGTAACTGCTATTTGTTATCATTAGACTTATACTATTTAGAATGAATTGTAAATCAAATCAGGCAAATGGAAATTCGCTTAGATAGCAGGAAGGTTTAGGATAGGTTTACTACTACTGGGACGACCAGTTTTGGGAAAACCAAATGGAAAAAACCATGACTAATTTTTATTTCAAATGTGTATTGCCAGAGCTGATCGGCCCAAGACACCCTAGGGGACTCCCAATAAGGGATAGGTTTTGAAAAGTTTTGTTGAATAAAACTGATACATTATTGTAATTATTTAATAATTTGTAAATAAAGGTAAATTATAAATAATTGAAATAATTTTTTTTTATTTCAACTGTTGTTTTTATATTTCAAAATATTATACCTACCATAACTGGGTTTACTTATGGTACAGTAATCTGTTTACAGCCAAAATGCATTTACTGACAAAACCCAGTACTGTAGCCTACTTTAAATATTTATTTAGTATATGGATAAGCACGAGTGGTGAGTTTTGAAGCATTCCCGGCGCTCATTTACCGCGCCTTGGCTCGCGGTGTTTTGTGGAGTGAAAGTTGCACTAGTGGGGTGATAAAACAGTGAGTATGCCAGTGCGCGTGGGTAAGCGGTTCCTCTCCTCCTGCTGGGCGCCGCCGCCGCGCCGCTTTCTCATCCCCTCTCCCACTCACTCGGCCCCTCTTCTGCTCCCCTCCATTGTGCAGCGCTCCAAGCGGCCGTTAGCTACATCGTGCTGAGATTTCCGACTAGCTGTCCTGCGGACCCTTAAGTTGAAATAAAGATGGAATCAAATGATTTAATTTTGTAAAAAAAATTGTAAAACACACATTACAACCGTGCCACCTACGGTAATAGCTACTTCCCTATGGCGAAATTCACTAATAATAGATGTGATCTGATTATTGTTTTCTGTAATTTCTTATAATCTTCTTATAAGAAAATTTTCACAAATTCACTCTTTTAAAATCTACACATAACTATCCTACACGTAATTGTAATCTTTCTTTGCCGATGCATCGAACAGCAGCTTTTGAAAAGACACCATTCTATACAGGCAGCCGATTATTTAATAAACTACCTTCTCATATTCGCAATGAATCTTCTGCTAAAGCATTTAAAAGAAAACTTGTTAACTATCTAAAGAGCCATATGTTTTATTCAGTAGAGGATTTCATTTTATATTGTAATAGTGGTTTGTAAATGGTTCATGTGGAGAGTTTGTTTTCTCATTATGTTTAATGTTACATTTTAATTTAGTTTTTAACATTTTTGTATCATATTTTTGACATGTCATCTACCATTGAGGAAACTCCTCTGTATATGGTGTAATTTGTGACAATTTACATGAATAAATGAATAAATCTTGAACATGAAAACTGTAGTGTGTTACAGTTTTCATGTTCAAGATTAATTACGGCAATTAGAAAGTATCTATCATCATTTTACAATGACAAGTTACATAAATTAGTTCACCATCTAATTAGAGTAGTTTTCTGTTGACAGAACCTGTACTCTTGCAACCATCATTATACAGTTCCAAAGTATCTCTACATGAAGCATCATGTACTTGATCAACTTGATTCTCCTGCTTCTAATGTGTAAGTGTTTTACAATGTATCTTTTATTAATGATTACACCAGTAGCTTAACAAATTTGGATTAATATTAGGTGATTGGTAATGTTAAATAATGCTTATCCGTACAAAATACTTACCATCACCACTTTAAACCTGCAGACTAGGCGAATTTCTATTTACCTGTCTGGAATTCCACCAAATTATTCCCTAAAAAAATGACAGATTTTATTTCCTATATAAATATCATAAATTTTAATGAGTACTTAGGATTGCTGCTACAGGAAAGATAATAAGGTATTTATTGAAATTTTGATAGCTTAATATGAAGTAAACAGATTTTCCAAATTTCATTAAAATAATAAAATTATTAAAAGGTGTGTACCCTACTCTAAACACATGTTAATTGTTCAAACATTTTGAAATGATTCAAGTAAATGTAAACTTTATAATTTCACTTTTTTTACACCAAAATCTTTCAATACAATTATTCACATTAGCAAAATTTTAAATAATTAATTAGGGTTAGATACAGCAACAGATATACAATCTCACTTATTTCATAAAATCAATAATCAATGAACCATCAAATATAAGAATAAATAAACATGTCATATGAATAAGGAGAATAGGCCTATTTATAAATCAGCTTTGGAATACATTTTAATGAGTACTTAGGATTTGCTGCTACAGGAAAGATAATAAGGTATGTTTTTATTGAAATATTGATAGCTTAGTATGAAGTAAACAGATTTTCCAAATTTCATCAAAATATGTCTACAGTCAAACAAGCTAAAACAGTTTTTTTTTCTCCATAAGAATAACTTGACAATTTTAAATTTACATTTTTTTTTAAATTTTGAAATTTTTTCTGTAACGGTTAGGTATAAAACGACGCTTCATTATACGAAAGTATTTGTTTTTCTGCTCTACAAAATGGTTTAGAAAGCTCATGCTGGTTAACGAACTCGTTCGAGTAAATGTAGATTTACACATTTATACCAAATTCATCAAAATTGGATTTTTTTTTGCTCGAGTTATCGTGCTAAGTAACATTAAAAAATGACTGCAATTTATCATATATAATTTAGTACCAAAGTAAAATTTTTTTATTAAGATATTTACTGACTAGCCAAAATATGTAAATAAATAAATTACATATGATAAAAGAAATTTCTAACCTTTTATATAATTTTGCCTTAATTAATTCATTTATATACTATACTAGCAGAGTACTCGTCCTTCGTCCGGGCCTCAGGGGTAGATGTGTGTTTAATAGTGCTTTTTGAAATATGAAATAAAAAACAGTGTAAAATAAGATTCAATTCCAATAAATGTACCTATCAAAAACTTTTACTAATTACATAAGAAACATTTTCAAAAAAGAAAACAAATAAAAAACTCCAAAACTTTAAGTTACTTTTAGCGAATTTCCCATATAGGGAATAAGCTATTACCGTAGTACTCATGGTAAGACCTGGACCCGGGACCGATTTTTTTTTCGTTTTGAGGTCCCTAGAGGCCAAAAACACCATCTGTTCAAATTCATATATATATATATATATATATATATATATATATATATATATATTTATATATGTGTCCGTTAGCGCGATAACTCGAGCAAAAACGATCCGATTTTGATGAAATTTGGTACAAACGTGTAAACCTATGTTTATTCGAACGAGTTCGCGAACCAGCATGATCGGACCATGGGAACAGGGGTTTATGGGGGGTTTGATGGGGTAAAAATGGGGTTTTCCCACTTTTGACTCAAAAAACATAAAATTTTACAATTTCTTTCCAAACTATTTTGTAGAGGTTAAAAAAACAAATAATTTAGTATATTGAAGCGTTATAATGCACCTAATGGTTACGGAGAAAATTTCAAAAAATTGTAAGTTTAAAATTTCCATGTTATTCTTATGGAGAATAAGTAAACTGTTGTAGTTTGCTTGTTTATTAACATTTTTAGCCCAAATTTGGAAAATGTTTTTATTTCTTACTAACTATTAACATTTTACATAAAAAAACACTTTTACCCTTCCTGTTGCAGCAAACCTAAGTATGTGTTAAACTGATTCTATTTAAATAGGGAATAAATGTGATATTTTTAAGGAGACATTTTAGTGTAAATCCAATCAGGCAAATGGAAATTCGCTTAGACTGCAAGTTTGCTGCGGTGGGGGTATTTTAAATGATAAAATCAAACATAGACAAACAATAATTTACAACATCTGGTTAATATTACGGTTTGAATTAAAATAAACATGTGATCTTGCTTTTAAAAAGCATTGCTCACTTAGCATTGATTATAAAAATAGCTCATTATATACTATGTGAAAAAACAAAAACATTAACACTCTTACTACTAAAACAAACAGAAATATACTTAGCCCTACTATTTATAGCTCCTACTATTCATGCACCAAAGGCTAGTACATATACAACTTATTTTTATTGTTGTTTTTAAATTGAAATATTTGTATATTAGCTTAGAATTAGGAAATCTAACGTCATTCGAACAATGTTCATGTCGAGGGTAGGTTAAGTTAAGAGGAACTTCGTTGAAAATATACATGTAATGATCAGACCCTCGTAAAAAGTTATTCATTATTAGAATAGAATGTGAAATCTACAGGAAGTGTCAAAAGTTATAATACAGATAGGTATAGTAGCTACCTCTGGTTTAGAAAACATCATAAATAAAACTATGGGTAGTAATATGAAATTATGATTTTAAAATTTGTGTAAAGTCAAATGGTGTGAACAATATTTCTCTAAAAATGGCTAAAATATACAATTAATTATCTCCTTGAGAAAAAGTTTCAATGTTTAAGGTGTGTGCCCTACTCTACACACATGTCAATTGTTCACAAATTTTGAAATGATTCAAGTAATGTAAACTTTATAATTTCACTGTTTTTTACACCAAAATCTTTCAATACAATTATTCACATTAGCGAAATTTTCGGACCGAACAGTGTCCGAGCCCGCCGTTCTGGTGATTGCTGGAGTCATCCCCGTCAAACTTTTGGCGGCGGAGAGAAAGGCAATTTACCGGCGACGTGGGGAGGACGAGGCACGAACAGAGGAACGCACCCGCACCTACCAGCTGTGGCAGGAGGGCTGGGAACAGGAGACACGGAGACTCTGGACCAGGCGACTGATACAGCAAGTCCAACTTTGGGTGGATCGGTGGCACGGAGAGGTGGACTTCTACCTCACCCAATTTCTGACGGGACACGGCTTTTTCCGGTCGTACCTGTTCAGGATGGGCAAAGCCGTGTCACCCGACTGCATATACTGCCCAGGCATTCTCGATGACGTGGAACATACATTTTTACACTGCCAGCGCTGGGAAAGTCCCCGCCTGGAGGCTCAACAGTTAGTAGGACTGCTGTCGGTGGACACGGTCATACCGATTATGACGGAGGGTGAGGACAATAGGACAATTGGACCTGTGTGTCACATTATATCCAGGGTATTCTCCGCGCCAAGAAGATCGACCTTGACCGGGATGCGGTGTAGGTCATTAAGAATCTAAATGCCAGAAACGGTGCGAGCCCTGAGGGCTTATGTCACATGTTGGCCTGACTTGAAGTAATGTGACAAACAATTCCAGGTCTGTGTCCAACAGAGTAGAGGGGTTTTTTTTAGTGAGTAGTCTGATAATTTTCAGGAGTCTCACACTACAGGCTGGCTACCTGTGTGCGTATACAATCTCGCTTATTTCATAAAATCAATAATTAATATACCATCAAATATAAGAATAAATAAACATGTCATATGAATGTAGAGAATATAATAGGCCTATTTATAAACCAGCTTGGAATTGTGAATTAATGTGGTTTGACAGTTTAGCTAGTTTACATTATTGGGTGGCATAGCAAATTGCAAACATTTTATGTGTACTCATGGCAGCCATGGATACTAATTAATATTTACTTTTATAAACCTCACCTGAGAACTTTTAAAGTTTATGCGCCTATTAGTAACAAACATACAGACAGACACCACTAGATTAAAAAAAATAGTATACATGCTGTGTTTGTATTCATTTCCATTACCATTTCCTCAATTGTGCTACTGTTTCATATATTGGATTATTTAATTTTAGTACCATTGTGATTAATATATTCGATTACAATTAGAATACACACGATGGCTTTTAATAAAACCCCCAATAACACACTTTTGATTAAGAGCTCAAATGAGCAAGAAAAGAAGTTGGATGTAGAGTGGAACCCTTTTGTTCGTAGCTCCAAGGTTTAGAGGTCGCCACCACCAAAAGACGTGAGGAAATATCCACCACCTGCACCTTTCAAATGCACTAAGGAGTTCCCCCATTTAGGATCGCTTTTGGCAAGTGGAGCTGGGAACGGCGCAGACAACGTTGGGGATGCAGGCGTTGAACTGGCGTTGCAGCAACTCCCCTGCCAATCAGTTCTGCTGTAGGGATGCCGGAGGAGTCTTTCACAGCAACGTTGCGGTTGGAAGGCTCTGAGATGGTGCTTCTGCGTCAGGAATATCTTGACGCAAAGAGTAGCATCGAAGACCGGCTCCGAGACATAGAGGGGACGATTAAGGCTATGCTTTACACCTTCCAGACCCAGGAAGCCGTAAATCAAGTGGTCAAAAATGGTATGGCCAAACGAGAGGATGCCCTTGGCTTCGTTTTTACCTGCTGGCTGGTGAGTATGGCGGCCATGGAAAAGATTGCCTTGAAGGTGGTGTCCCTGCCCGATGAAAGAGCGCTGCCTTCTAAGAAACTTTGGAGGCCTTCCACATCGGAGAGTCATCAAAAAAGAGAAGAAGGCGTCCAGACCAAAAGGAAAAGGACCATGGTTAAGGCCAAGGCAACTCAGACGGACCTATCGTCTGCTATGTCCAGATCCTTTTCCGACGTAGCTGCAGCTCCAGTGAACCACCGACAGCAACAGATACCTACGACCTCCTTTGGGGAAGTTGCCGAAAGGGGTCAGTTGTAGAGACACCTGGGGCTGCGTGGGAAAAACGCCGTTC